GCAACAATATATTAAGGGTGAAACAAATTTTTAAAAAAGAGCAAATACGAAATAAATTAGAACTAATACATGTTGCATACTTTGTAACGGACTTAAATAAATAGTCGCTACTAACTAAACAGAACTTTATTCTTTCTTTAATATAATGAAAGTAAAAGTAATTAAGTTTTGAATTACAAAGTGAAGATGGAACAAGAGAACATGGGGCAAAGATACTTAAAAAGCACAGTACATTGAAAATTGGGCCTGTTTATTGCGATAAGCCTGGTGCTGCAACTCCATCAGTCTGCGCCTTAATATGGCATTGGGTATGAGATTAAATCTGGAAGCAATTTTGCATGAAATTTTGCTTACACAATTACGTGGCTTTGCACATAAAATCCACAACCATCCAATGAAAAGTCAACAAATCATCATTCTGTGGTAACATTGTATGGGTAGCTAGACTTAAATTAACATAAATACATGTTTTATTATAGTAAACTACTGTACTATCTACATGTATTGTAGTTATTAATTGTTTAATTATATTACTAATTTAAACAACTATGTACAAAAATAGTATATTACCTATCATACACGTACATGTATGCACTACTGAAATAACATGTTAGTATGGTCCATTCTTCTGGGGTGCTTTTCCATAAATAACTTACATACAGTTTCAATGTTGATAGCAGTGTCGTAATGATGATGCATTAAAGCTAGAGCAGTCTTCGGCGGAGAACAGATGCCGAACGTTTACATGAACATGAACTTAGTGGAAATGTGGCAAAAAGTTTCAGTAACATAAATATATTTGGTACACTGAAGAACGCTTTTAAGCAGTCAGCCAGTATCTGTGGCCTGTTGTGGAGAGATATAGAAAGCCATCTTGTCTTCCATCGATGAAGTTCTTTCACAAAATAATCAGAATTTGATAAATCTTCCTTGTAAAATCATCACAAGGCTGTCTGTCTGTCTGTTTGACGTTAAGCACAAAGCTACACAATGGACCATCTGTGCTCTGCCCACCACTGGTATCGAAACCCGGTTGCTAGCGGTGTATGCCCTAGACATACCGCTGACCCACTGTGGGGTATAGGCTGTCTGATATTAGAGATAGAAAATTTTTGTGTGAGTTTGATGGAATAATTTTCTCAATTGATGTTACTTGGCTTACATGTGTATCAAATCTGGAGGAAAGATTACTGATAATGTGATCAAGAAAAGGAATGGTTACTGATTTCTTAAAATAATCCTCCATGAAACTATATTCTGCATTTGCACGTTGGACTTGTCGTTGACTAATTTGTGGCATGTTAACATTAATATTAGATTTATTTACAATATTACTGCTGTGCTTGAAGATACAATGTGAATAATCATCTACGTTCACTGTTAATGAAATCAGTTCTTTACAGCATTATTATATTAGGGGAACACCAGCCCCCCACCCACCTGCTTACGTTTTGTGATCTTCAGCATATCCTTCGAACTTCATATTCATATTCTACACTCCAATTTACTAGAAAAATTTTTTAGGCCTATATTATACATTATTAATTAAACCTTTCGATCTTGTCCCTGGTGAGATGGTGGTAAATGTATATATATATAAACATACAATGCTAAAACCAGGGGTTTGAATCCCCGCGTTGGACACAGATGACAGACCGATATGACTTTACTTTAAAAACAAACAAAAAAAAACGACCCATCTATTGTAATCAATCATTATTTTGACCTGCAATGTCCCCCAGCTAATAAACAAATTACAATATTAAAAATATTGCTTATATGAATAAAATTTTACCATTTTTGTGATATTGCAAACTTACCAATTATTCTGCTTGTACAAAATTGATGGTAAAATATTTGTAAAATCTTGTTCTTTCCATGATATCATATGTTAATACTAAAAAAATAATTTTATCAATTGAATTAACAATTTATATAATTTAGGATAACATTTCAAATTTCTTCTTTAACTGTCTTACCAGATTGTACTGCCACTTTAAAAATAATTAACTGTATTTTATATGCGTTAAGGGCCGTTTGTTGGTTATTTCATCATTGACAATAAATAATAATTAACCACAAAATCAGGCACCACGACACGGAATTTTTAGGTTGGAAGTGGATGAGACGCTTATTGTATAGTGACGTAATTTAAGTACGCCTACATTACGTAGGCGTACTTAGGCAACTGCTATTAATTCCGTTAATTAAGCTGAAGGGAATTGGTTGGATTTCGACATTGTATTTTCTTTTTGCGTTGTACGTGTGGAGGGTTGCGTAAAATCATAGAGGACAAGAAGTTTATTGCAATGGGTAAGGCTTATGTTTCTCTTGATTTTAATAGTGGTATCACTAAATAGTTGTTTTAGTACTATTAGTATTGTAAGTACTCGGAAGAGTAAATCTAGATTGTTGCTATTACAACTACTAATAATAGTAGTTTCAGTTTCAAAGTTACATCGAATGTCAGTGTTGTTTTGGTAAGTGTCGCAGAAATGTTGGGTTTTTTAAAAAACTTAAAAGTTTCATCTTCAGATTTCAGCTTTGTATTTCTAACGTGGCGACTTGTATTTCCACGATAAACTTCTACATATAATCTGAGTGTTTCTTCATATATTTATGTTGCATCTACATGAAACAAAAATGCACAAGATCATAGAAAACTTCCTTTCACAATAAACATTTTGGTATAAGTTCAATTATATCACTTGTAGTTGTTTGATATTTTATGCAGTTTTAATAGAAAGAAGGATCTATAAATATTTGATGTAAATTAGTCTGATTTATTATGTGTATAGTTTGTACAGATTGTTCTTTCACTTCATAACTTTGGTAATATGCAGTGAATACCTTCTGGCAGAATGATATTGATCAATAATTTCTAAAGAAGCAAAGATACATTTATCTGCTGAGTACATGTTTCAGCTATGACTGTGAATTTAGGAATTCTTACTTAAATCTCTCAAGTGGATGAGAATGGTGACACATTTTCCCTGGACAGGATGCCAGTTCATGGTACTTGTAGCTGGTATCCATCATATAGCTAGGTAGATTAGAATAATTAGGGTAAAGTGCCTTGCCCAAGGACACAACAGCATGATGCATACCATCCTCAACAAAATGTAAAACCACTTTGTCAGATCCTATGTGAATATTGACTTGAGCGGGATTTGACCTGAATATGAGTTGCAAACAGCCAATCAAAATGGCTTTTCACATACTATTATTATTTTAATAGCATCAAATGACCTTCCTGTTAAGAAACAAACCTATGTACCAATATATAACTAGAGCTGAAGTATTAGTAGAATTTGCAAATTGTTGGGTTCATTAATTGATCACATTCTACTAATCCTTTATTCTTATAAAATGGCTTTTGAGAAACTCTAGAAATTTTGATACCTGTGGTGAGAAGAGCCCAAAATAGTTTACTGACACAAGTCTGGTTTTTGTGACAGCGTTTGGTACAAGTTATTTGTATTCAATATGGTTGTCAAGAATAATGTATCTAGCATCTTGAGGTGATCTTTGTCAGCACAATTTTGGAGAAAAAAAACCATTGACCCAGTAGATTTTTGTTCAAATGTGAGGCAACTGCTATATTTAGAGCTGAATAGGAAATTTCGAAGAAGGATTTATTGTAAGTTAGGTTTCTAATTGGATTCCATCATGACTATTTTTAAATCCATATCATAAATTGGTCTCTGTAATAATAAGAAGAATGGGAGGAGGGGGGGGCTTTTCTGGGAAATAAAAGTGTTAACAAAAAAAATTGAATAAATAAATTTGGTGACACAATTTTTTTTTTTTTTTCCAATTGCCTATTTAAAAGAAAGGAGGCAAGCTCTTTAAATACTTGGCAGTAAGAACAAATTCAATGGCAAAAGTCCTATGTTTCCTTAGTAGAATGCCATTGTTTGAGCAAAATTGTGCATGTTTATCTTTTGGTGATGGACTGAAACATTTGAAAGATTAAGGCCTTCCTGTCTTTTAATTTATGCACTTAATTTCTGTTTCTATTTAATAAGCCTCTTCTCTGCATCAAAATAAAAATAACTTGTACATAAACTAGAGCATTTCTAGGTATTTGTAGTATTTTGCTTGCATCAGCATTAAGGTAAATGGATAAACCATTAACTGGATGTAGAAATTTACTTCCTGGTGTATTTTTGAAGATTCTAATCTTGCATCCAAGTAGTTTCTTAATGCTTTGCTTAAAGTTTAGGAGTACCATCATAAGGTACTGCTAAGATACTACTATAATTCAATAGATAGAAACTTTGAGATAAACTTTCCAAATTATTAGCAGTTACTCTGTGTGATAGAACATAACCAACAAGACTCTTCAAGTGACCTCTTGGACCTACCAACATAAATACTAAGGCATCATTAGCAACATTCATAATTAGCAGTTGCTGTGTTAAATATAATTATTTTTTTAATATCCAGGGCATCAACAATTAAAATGTACTTAAAAGGTTTACAATGTACTGATACTCCTGAACATGTATATATATGTGCGTGTGTGTGTGTGTATATAATATTTCTCAGAACAATAAGCATTAAGATTTTAGTAAAGATTCCATTGTCAATCCTGGTTGTGACCTTAAAATCTCAGTGCATTTGGGATATCCCATCTCCCAGACAAATTCAAAATGCTGATGTTAAACTAACCAACAAGCATGGAAAATCAACTAAAGGTGTGTATTTCCATGCTTACACCAACAACTTCCTACCTCTCATGGAAAATCAACTAAAGGTGGGTATTTCCATGCTTACACCCACAACGTCCTACCTCTCATGGAAAATCAACTAAAGGTGGGTATTTCCATGCCTACACCAACAACGTCCTGCCTCTCACTATCTGCAGCCAGTTGTGGGAAGGTAATTACACTTAAGTTCTTATAATTGCTGAAGTAGAAATGTGATGAATTTGTTGCTGAAGTGTCTTATTTTGTTTTTTTCCTAAAGTTTTACTTTATTTGTAGATTGAGTTAGAGTAGTTTTGACTTCAGCTTTAATACGTAAGTGGTGATTATATGTCTGCTGTTTGTCTAAGATGTTCTATGTTTCTCAACTTGTGCTATGACAGCCTTTTTCGTGATTTTGATGTCTACTATATATATATGTTTGAGAAGTTCAAAAATATCTTGATTTGTTAATTTTGCTTTGAAACTTATAGGATTTTAAAGACTTAATAATAATAATAATTATTATTATTATAGATCGGTGTACTCAAGATTCTGAAGATGATGATTTTATTCAATATCTGACAACTACTCCCCTCAATGAAGTAGGGAAATTTGCATCAGAATGGCCGTCTTGACTCGAGTCAGTGCCACGATATAAGTTTATCAGGTACATAATCTTTGTTAAATAATAAATTGGACAACCTTTATTTTTCCATAAGATAGTAATAAAGGTGCATTTATTCTAACTACTAGCCTTCATTATCTATCTCTTTCTCTTAACAACAAATGTTAGTTCTTTGTTGGTTTTTTCTTCTACTCATAAATTTCGTACTTTTCTATACTGCATTGTGGAAGCTTAAATAGCAGATATCTACTTGGAAGTGAATAAAAGTACCACATTTTACATCTTTATCATTACTGCATTCAGTTCAACAGCTATTTTTCAAACACATTTTTAAGTGTGTATAATGAAATGTATTGAAACAGTTGGACTAAATACTTGTATTATCAGTATTTCTCTTAAAATCTCTAATCAGTTTGCCACTAAGGTTTTTCTTTTGTTCCAGACAACTCAGCTTGCCTCTAAATTTGCATATTGGAAGTAGCTTTCTTGATATACCCTTGGAAAAGTGTGAGAGAAAAGTAGGTTTATTTTTGTCTTTGATTTCAGTTAAGCAGAGAACTCTTTATATTCTTAAACATGTGTTGAAAATGGGAATGTCTTGTACATTTGTGCAATAAAACAAGCAACTGTATAAGTTTAAGTGAATTAATAAACTGAGGTATGATTAAAACCACACTATACATATTTTTTTTGCTTTTTTCAAGGGCTGTGAAACCACATTTTGCTTTCTTCAACCCAAATAAAACAATGATTTTCATTCTTTCTTTGCTCAAAGTAAGCCAAACTCAGTTTGAGGTTAAAATCTATTTCAACCAAAGACATTTTGACCTTTTCATGCAGCATTGTTATACAAAATTTACCTTTATTACTCAAATATGTTTAAATTTTATATATCTGTACTAATATTACTTTGTGAAACCACAATTTGCTCTATTTATAGAAAAAAGTAACCTTTATTTTTGCAATGGAAAGCTTGCTATCTTAAAAGGACGCAGTACTGTCCACTTTGAACTTGTATTATATACTTTCTTACAGTAAATTGTAATTTAACCAGAAAATTTTGCTTTCCCAAAGCACTTATTGATGCTTTATTTATTATAGTAATACTGTTTTAAGTGTAAGTTATCTTTCCTTAATAGGACGCAAGATGGGAAGATAATGTGGAAAACTCTACATTCCATTCATTAAGATTTTTCAGTGGTAATCTTCTTCCAGAACCAAAATGGGGAAGGTCTCCTCCTCCTATGGTGTTTTCAGAACAGACAACCATCATGGGTTTCATTAAAGATATTGAAGTTATACTGAAGGAACAACTGAGAAAATTTCCCTACAACACTATGGGAAATTTCTTGAAATTCTATGAGGATTTTAAGCAGCAGGATACACTATCACTAGTACCATTTTTTGTCCACTATAAACCCATAGTTTTGCAAAAAAGCTTAAGTTGTGTTGGGTTAAGTTGTTGTTTGATATCTGCTATTCTTAAATCCCATATTGTCAGAAATTTTCCTAATCTAAAATTCTGTCTATTCAGAGTATCTTGTGAAGAATGTATTTCTGAACTTGATTTAGTTTGCTTATCATCTCCAAAACCTGAAGCATTAAAAGAACATGTACTTGTTGCAATTAAAATTAAGCTTGAAAATCGGGAAGGGGTAATTCTCCTTGATCCTGGCTATCACATTGGTATTCCAATTATTATTATGGCGGACAAACAATATCCACATACTGGATGGTTTGTTCAGTCTCAAACTGTTAAGTCAAAAAAGGAATACAATTACATTCTACATCCAAGCCTAAAGTATGTCAATTGGACAGTTAGGGAAACGCGTGGTGGTAATACAGAAGTGATTGAAAACCTTATCTATGTTGGTTCTGAATATGTAACCCATGTGTCTGTGTCTGAGAAACGAAACTTGGTTTACAATTTTCACACTCTAGTGGCCAGAGATGGTAATAGTGCAGTAGCTGGTCTGTATTGCAGCTTCGGTGATAATGCCAGATATACGATCTTCTATAGAAATGAGGTAGGGGAAAGAGTGGAGTGCAAGATTCCAATGAGTTACTTCATGGAATCCCAGTTGAATCCTAATTACGAACTTGCAATTAGCATTTGTTCTGTCCAGCTGAAATCTAATCTTCAGTTCTTAAAGAATATGATGAGAAATGTTGTGCAAGCAAATATGGATGCAGAATTCATGCCAGTCATGTTGCAGATAAATAAGAAGCTTGACAAATAATTTTTCTATAAATTTAACCTATACTTGCCTTTTATGGTCTGTCCTGTTTTCTGCTTGTTTATCATAATGTTTAATTTCTGACATAACTTACAGTTGTTAGTTGTATTTAGATTTTGAATTTTCACACCCTAAAAAAAAAAAAAAAACTTAAAAGGTGGTTTAAATTCAACATATGCCCTACTTTATTGTTTAAATCCATATATTTTATTATATATATTTAATTTTTCTTATTTTTAAAACAGGTGGTTTTGTAATACTAAATGTCTTATTGACTGAATAAACTCTTCTTTATTGTGAACTGGAATGATCAATGCAAGATATGTACTTACAGCAAAACTAAAAATCAACCTGACAATCAATCGATATAGTAATTAACTGTACTTTTCTGACAGTTATATTTATAAACGTTAGTTAGATATTCTTGCTGTTAAAGATGCTTCAACCATAATCGTAAGAAGGGAAAATTTTGGATTGTCCTAAATGCATATATTAAGCTAACACTGCAAAACAATATGAATATGAAACAAACTTTCAATTTAAATTTCCTGCAATTCTCTGTGTGTCTGGGTCTTAAAGACTTAACATGGACATTGTCATGATTTAAAAGACTGTTCAGTTTAGATATTATTGATTAATTTATTTTGTGAATGAATATTTTATTATTGTTTAGTTTTTTTATAATAAGAGTTAAAAGCGGAAGATTGTAGGAAATTGTGTTTATACTTCATTGATGTTGAGACTATCAAACGTCGCATTCAATACATTGATGCCGAGAATATAGATTTCTAGAAGGCAGGCAGAAGATTAAGTTATAAACATTAATGGTGTGAGACGAGTGGAAACAGCAAAAGAGAGTAAAGTTACGGGCAATGAAAAGTTTGTTGTGAAGTTAAGTACCGTAGAAGTGATAGTCCTAATGTTTAATATGTTAGAGTAAGACTAACAGTAAAAAAAGGAGATAAGAAGAATAAGTGTGGTTCTAAAGTAATTGAATCAGTCTGAGTGCACTTTGACAAAAGGAACAGAGGATATTTTGAGGAAAGAAGACCAAATGATCACGGTAACTCTTGACACAATTGTAAGTGAATCACACTCAGAATACTAGTACGATAGTAATAAAGATAGTTTGGCTTGTCAACTGAAATTCTAAAGCAATTGAATAGGCCTAAGTGGACTTTTGACAAGGAGAAGAGAACTATATATTGTTTATATAATTTTGAAAACAAGAGAAGTGTGTGCTGTTAATTTATTGCCAACAAGTCTCGGACACCTACTGTAAAATAATCCTAAGCCCAACCACAACATAGTATATAATAATACTATCAAGAAATATAAGTAAATCTTTTATTTTGACAATTGGTGAAAAATTATATATTATAATTCTGACAGACATTAAAAGCATTAATAGTAAGCTATACACATTGCATGCAAGCTCCTTCCTAAAATGTTAGTTCCACCAATAGTTGTAAAGTAACTTTAAAGTACAGAATTAATAGTTAGCCTTTCTTGGATGCCTAACACTTGCACGTTATATCTCTAATCAGTTATAGTGTCATCCTCAATCATATAGATATATGCACATCCATCCAAGGCAATTTCTGCCCAAAACATATAAATCTCTTGCTATCATGTGTTTGGGCAGGTTGAATGTTCCACCTTTCTCATAAATGAGTGTACTTTGTGAATTGCATTGTAGCCAAATCTTGACTCGTCAGTAAAACAAAAAACAAACGTGGCTTCATTGATATGGTATCCAAAAAGACTTATTCACAATACCACTTCAAATGATCCCATTTGTATTTGTGTGTAAAGGGGATACACACACCATTAGTCATCTTAAATAGAACCCTCTTACATGCAGTCTCCCACCTATCATTGAAGCTGATTCCAACCTCCATGTGCCAAAGCAGAGATATAGAAATAGTTTTGTTGGTGTAAAGGATCTGTTTTGTTGGGCCAAAAGTGACACACAATGGTAATCTGTTGGGGTTGTAATCGACTTTGTACTAGTTTTCAAGTAATATATCCATACAGTTGGAACTTATTTCTGTCACAGTGCTATAAAGACACTTATCACTTGTCATCCAAAAGACTATGTTTGATAAGTTGACTGTAACTGTAAGTATGTACAATGGTTTCCAGAAGTAAGGCAACAGAACTAAAATGCAAATAATGAATTCCCCCACCCTAAAGTCAAGAAGCCCGTGAGAAGGAAATATCATTTTTAAAGATTTAACTTTGAATAATTGCTAAAGATTCTCGTGACAGAGAGACAATAATAACTCGGTGGTTAATTGACTGGACTGTCCATCTGACATTCATGCCCTATTACTACAACAACAAAAAAAGCCTATCTTAATGTGATGACGACTACATACAGGAAATAACACTTCTGTTTATATTTAACCACCTGGATGTGTGACCAACCAGTAGGTCTTCAACATCAAAGAATCTCCCTTGTGATGACTGCCATAGATTTTGCGTAAATGATCTTTACACGAATATTCCACCAGTCAAAACTAAAATGGACGAGTGTCAGTATACATACACTCCTTTACATGTTTTTTGTTACACATTGTATCATGTATAAATGTATCTGTATTCCAAATTTGGTGATTAAATCTTGCATCATTTTGAATTTGTATGTATGTGTTTGTTGCTTAACTTTGGGAAACCAGTGTACAGTAAGCAATTTTTTTCACTCTCATGATGATTTGTAGCTCCTTTACCCCCTCCCCTCCTTATAGAAGAAAATTCCCGATACTTGTGGTACTATATAGTGAATCTGATAAGGTAAATCATGGTTTAGTAATCTGTTATTCGCACAAAATACATCTAAATAGTGGATTAAATTAATCTTTGTCTAATTCTGGTACGCTGAAGATACTCTTACTATATGGCTTTACTAAGAAGACATTCTAAAAGCCATGAGGTTAAAGTGTCTGTATGTTGAAACTGGAAACATGCCTTTAAATGTAGAACTGGATAAAGTTTAAAATTAAAAGATCATGAAAGTGCAACGGTAAAAAAAATCAACAATTAAGAGCAGAATTTAAAGTACAACGGTTTGTTTGTAATTAAGCACGAAGCTACACAATGGGCTATCTGTGCTCTGCCCACCACGGGTATCAAAACCCAGTTTCTGGCGTTGTAAGTCTGCAGACATACCGCTGGGGGGCAAAGTACAACCGTAATAAAAACAAGCATAGAATTTAGTGGATCCCAATAAGTGTTTTGTTTATCATGATTTGACTCCTCTTTGTAAAAATAATAAAAAAGACAATGTAAATGGTAGAGAAAGGTGTGTTATGACAGCGGAAGTCACGTGATTCTGGTAACACATCATGGGTTTCTAGAAGGATCATGACTGTTCCTACACTCTAGTGTTTGCCAGACGGCCTCTATTTTTATATATAAGCCCTGCAAAGGGCAGATAAACAGATATATAGAGAGAGATAATCGAGTCAAGTCTTAAGTAAAGTGCGTGAATCATTGTGAATTATAGTGTGTGTTAAGTTAGAGTGACTGTGGAAATTCTGTGTATTGCAAAGTTGTATTGAGAAAGAATAAACTTGTATCGCTGAAGTTTTTCGGAAATAATTTCTACGGGAAATTAACGAACGACCAGAGACGTAACAGGTGGTTAAGGAATCTACGTATCTAATCATATGTCGGAGAGGTTAAAAGAACGTGCTTTGTCAATCTGATACAGAAAAAAAAGGGAAAATTAAGGTTAGAGTTTCTAAGTAACATTTGGTATTTTGAATTTCGTTTAGGCTTCTCCGTAGCGCCTTATAAAACATCCTCGGGTGCAATTAGAAACCATATTTGAACTACTTTCTATTATGACTCAAACATCAAACTCAAAGTTAACAATAACATAATTACAGTATGACATTTAAAACTGAATGATCAAAGATATAACTACTATAAGCAACAGTACTTTTTAAATTAAAAAAAGTATAGAAAATCATCTTCACTAAATGAAAGAAGCAATACCAAATTGCTATAATAATCAAGACAAGAAATAGTAGTAATATTACCTAAAATATCTTATTTAACACATGTAATTTACTAGAACTATATGAAAAGGAGGATAGATCATGTGATTTCCGGGAAACGAAACCTTGTCATCCACCATTTTAGACATTAAGCTGTACTTCGTTTTATGACAATTGTGGCGATGAAACTGAGTGAATATGTTCTGCTTCTTGAAAAGTATGCCATGTAAATAACTTGAGAGGACTTTATATGGATGCTTATGTGTTTCAGATCCACAGATTGCGTGGACGAGTATTAGTGCCGATGACTTATCAAAATTTGATCAATTTACGTCATAAGTATTTCCATTACTGCCAAAGGATTTATATATATAGAGGGAGAGAGATGGGCCTCACAGTGGTATCTCTTCGGACATACAATGCTAGAAACAAGATTTCGAAACTCGTGGTGGGTGGAATAGAAAAAGCATATTGTGTATGGTAGGTATTTCCTTGTTTGTTAATATCTGGTATAACTTATTTCCGAGAGACTTCACAGATACAAGTCTTTTCTTGATTAAAACTATCAGGTCATCCTGTAAGGTCTGTCTGGATTTTAAATAAAGAAAATGAGTGATCAAATCTTACATTTTATTGAAATATAATCATCAATGTAGTTTCCATGATTATCTATGACTTCTTTCCATCTACTTACAAGCTTTTTAATCCCACTACTAAAAAAATTCTTTCGGTTTCGAAGAGAACTCTGAAATGTCAGTTTCGACCTCCTCATGGCTTGTGTGAGTTAATCCATCCAAATGATTCTGTAAACTACGGAACAAATGGTAGTCTGAAGGAGCAAGGTCGGGAGAATAAGGCGGATGAGGACTTTTCTCCCAACCAAGTTCTTCGATCTTCTGGGACGTGATTTTTGCAGTGTGGGGTCGTGCATTGTCCTGATGAAACACCACTCCTCTTCGATTCACTAAAACAGGTCTTTTTTTTCTTTAAAGCCGCGTTCAAACGCTCTAATTGCTGACAACAGACTTGAGCATTGATTGTGGCATTAGTTGGCAGCAACTCAAAGTGAATAATTCCTTTGCAATCCACCAGATAGAGAGAGAAGAACTTTCTTCGCATGAAGTTCCATTTTTGGTTGTAGTTGG